ATCGCAGTGCCTTTTTTTTTTTGCACTCCCTCAAGTTTGTCAATCAATGACTGTGAGCACGGGCCCCATACAATGTCCGCGTATTCCAATAATGGACGAATCAAAGTAGTGTACGCAACAAGCTTAGTTTCCGGGGTACAATGTCCCATAGTCCTTCGAAGACTCCACAGTTTACGAGACGCTTTTGCGATAATGTTCTCTAAGTGAACAGACCAGCTTAAAGTAGATGTTATGGTAATGCCCAAATATTTATGAGAAGTGACATTTTCTAACGGTACTGAGCTGATAGAATGCCAAACAAAATTGGAGACTTCTTTGGTGTTACCGTCATTTGCACGCATTTTTTTACGTTCAAATCCGTCTGCCATGCTTGACACCAGGAAAACACAGATTGTAGGCTGCTGTCTAAACATAATTGATCGGAAATGCATGACATTTTGGCAAACAAAACACAGTCGTCGGCGAAAAGATGGTACTGAATCCCGGGCTTATCTACACGCAGATCATTTATAAACACTAAAACAAAAACAAAGGACCGAGCACATGATATGACTAGCAAATCCAGGGACTCCGCTTTCCCAACAGTCACGTACTGTCGACGGTTCGCAAGATAGGAATCAACCCAACGTACAAGGCAATCGTTATCGAGTGTCTGCCTAATTTTGAACATTAGTTTCCGATGCGACACCCTGTCGAAAGCTTTCGCAAAATCTAAGAAGATAGAATTCACTTGGTGATCGTTATCCACTGTAGGAGCAAATTCATGGAATGTGTGGAGAAGCTGGGTAACTGTTGAGTAACCACGTCGAAACCCATGTTGGTCTTTTACCGAAGATTCTGTCGATTCTAAAAAAAGTTGCAATGTGTTTAAAGAGAAAATGTTCAAGAACTTTGCTACATCTGCCAAGCAGCGAGACAGTTCTGTGATTCGAAACGCACTTTTTATCTCCACTTTTATAAATTGGCACAACTTTCACTACTTTCCAGTCTTTTGGCACTTTGCCAGTTTTTAAGCTGCAAAAGTATATTTCATAAAGATACTTCGAACTCCATTCCGCATACCTATGAAGGAATGCGTTAGGAATCCGGTCCGGGCCGCGTGACTTTTTAACGTCCAGCCGGAGAAGGCTATCAAAAATACCACTTACTGACACTACTAACTCGTCAATGGGTGTAGACGGCATAAAAGCCATTGCAGAAGCTCCCTTTCTTCTTTTTCCTGTCGCCATCTTGGTTTCACCGAGCAGCGGCACAATTTGGCACGAAGTCGCACACGGAAATACAGCGAGTTTTTTTTTTTCACTTCCTTCTTTATCACGTTTGCACCTTTATTCAAGGTGGAAAAACAGGTAGCTCGGCCCGAGCATTAAGACATTAACGCTATTGCGAAAGTTTCTTTCTGGCTCTAATGAGACACTAACAAGGACTCTCTTCGAACAGAGGTGTGTGAATAGCGGCGCCACCCAGAAAGCGACCATTTTGAAGGCATTATTTTATAAGCTCCCATAGCCAGTGTGTTCTGGACGAAGAAAACAACTGTTTGGGCGCAATTTCGCGCAGTACACGTTTACATATAATAATCGACAACGTAAGTTAACGACGCGGCGAAGAAAATTGTTCCATGATGTGGAAAGTGCTGCCTTCCAAGCAAGCTTGTTTTCTTTTGCGTCTCAAAAGTAAGTAAAATGAAAAGTGAAAAAAAAAATATATATATATATTTGAAGCAGAAAACTTTATTACAGCTATATTTATGCGCGTAATCCGCGCAAATGTCTTAAGCACTAATCATGACGTGGCACAAGCGTTTGGATGCCCTTTACTGTGAAAGTTTCCGCCAATGAGATCTCCGTCATTTTATCCCGCGTCTAAATGACCGTCAATCACCACAGACGTGTAATGCCTATGAAAAAAATTACACCAAGTTTCGTGAAATACGAAAAATGGCCTTGACAATGGGCATCAGGGAAGAGCGTCTGCGGCAACTGACGGTCTCTTTTAATGCCAGACAGCCAACCAAGGTCGTGACCTTCTTTAACAAGGATATGCAAATCTTGTGCCACGTCATGGTAAGTGCCTAAATCTATGTATTAATCACGTAGAGGTGTAGCTATTATATGTATCTATATAGGATGGATGCTTTAACATTTTTATCACTCTCGTGCTTCTTTAACCCCTCATTCGTGGTTGAATAAAACATTCCTGGGATTATTAAAGTCTCAGCTGCGGTCAAAAAAATCGGTTAATGCAGTAATAAAAAGCAAACCAATAGCTAATTAATCAGCGACGTTACTTTTTGTGGCATTGAACGCCAGTGTAAGATTCCTCTGCAACTCAGGATATTTTCCCAAACAACATCTTCAGAAAACGGCCTTCTAGGTGTTTCAAGACGGTGTTTATTTCTTGCGATTATGCGACGCAAGGATGGTAGAGTACCTACCATGAAAGCTAACTATGAATGGCAATGCTCCGCTTTACAAACTACTACTAGAATAAAATTCTAATATCTTAAATTACGTTTTGAAGGTTGCATTATACAATTAAACGTGATGGTAGAACGTCTCCTGACTCAAATAATAGCGCATTTTCTTAGCGATATCTATTTTTCTAATATTTCTTATCTATCTTACTTCATTTAATCATAAGTGACACATACATTTTTGTTTACGGTGTTTACACACATAATTTTGCTTTGTATCGTGATACGCATTTTACCTGGTTCTTCGGTTGGGAACACTAAGTTAATTTTATTCCTTTTTTTTAATTTATTGTTTTGTAACTCTACGTGCATATTGCCGTTTCCTTCAGAGGCTTTCATTTTGATATTGCACTTATGGCTGAGACTGTCTGTTAGTTTGACGATGTTTTTAATGCTTAGGTTCCAACAGTGAACTATATGTGACTGGTAATTGTTAAAATGCTTGTGTTTTCCTCTGAATTACATTGTTAGTTTTATTATTCATATAGTGCTTTTGTTTCGCAGCTTTATGTATGGCGACTATGTGTATGTCTGTGTTTCGCTTTGTTCGGTTTGTGTTTTCGTGGTAAGCCAAAACCAAAACGTGTTTTGTGGATTACGTGCAATAAAGGTAAATTCTAACCCGTATCTAAAGCCCTAAAATATTGTGACTAATGATGTGTTCGTTGGGCAGTAACTGGTCTCACCGGTGATTAAAGGAAGAAACACGGCGTTCCCGGTGTTAAATTGACCTTCATAAAAAAGCAGGATCCGCCGTACTCTGTTAGAGGATGTAAAAATGTTTTACGTGAATATATATTTTGTAAAACACACACTCGCACAACTTTAAAAATATCTACGCAGGGCGAGCATTATCCTAAACAGAGGAGGGAAAAGGGTCGCGGGTTTCCAATTTTGCACTACCAAGTTAAAGAGCCACAACTGGAAATATATTAATGACAACGGAGTACGTTCACATGCAGAAAGCACAAAGAGCACCGGTCCAGAGACATCTCGCTAATTTAGAGGAATCGTTTAGTTCATACGGACCGACCAAGGGGTACTTTCTATCAAGACCCCGAACTCTTGAACGTGCTGTGTTTCGTCTTAATTCCTAACTCACCGACACGTGTGTCTGCGTATCTCTTACGAAGAGAAAAATTCGTTTCACCGAAATCCGATCCGGAGGTACCGCAATCAGTTTCAAACGAACCGTACACTGAAGCCTGCTCCCAAAACTTTCCTTATTACATTCGTTGACATATTTGAATAAAACAAATTAGGAAACAAAATAATCGAGCTTTATCCGGCCCGTTTGTGTGAACGTCTTCGCAATTTTAGTGCCACTGAAGACAAAGTAAAATCTTAAGTACCACAGACGTGTTAGTTCTTTAATGCTTAAATTAAAATATTTTCTTCATTTCGAGGGTTCCAAGCTAGCGGGACAGTCACAAAATAGAAATTGTGTGTTCTCGCTTCTTACTCCGTGAGCGAAAAAGATAAGGTTTAACATACTTTCCCCATTTGGGACACGGAACTTTTCCAAAATTTTAATTTAGATTTCGGCAATAAAGCCATTTGTTGCTTCGCCTAAATATTTATCATTTGAATGTATAATTTAGGACACCGTTGAATACGGTTGAGTGTATACTTGTATTTCAGAAGAAATATATACTGTGCCTAAGCAGCTGACTAGTTCGGCTTCCTTAACTTAATTGAAATGGTCATAAAGGCGTTCAGATTTCCCCTGTGCAAGCGTGAGCAGACTTTTTTTAAACTTAGAGATGCTCTTGCTATACCTAATATGCTTTCAGCTGGTCACATACAAAATACAAAGAACTCCGCGACACGGCGACTCGCAGGCATTTCCTTTTCTATCGGCAGCCAATCAAGTGTTTCATTCGCCGATACGAACGCCAAAGAACAAATTACGAGCGTAAGGGGCTCTGAACGGGATGAGCCCCATCTGGCGTTTTTTAAGCCCTCGGGGATCAATGTCAGTAACAACTTCAGAAATGCAAAGCGTTTTTGCTAATTATGTTGACGTTTGTAGACTAGTGGTTCCTGTTGTGTATTGTGTGAATTATTGAACACTGTCCAGTTTCGGTTTCGGATGCTCGGTTGGCAACATGGTGTCCTTATGTGTGTATATAAAGTATTGCGTCCTGAATAAAGTCAAATTTGGGGGTCTTACGTGCCAAACCAACGGCGGGCATCTGGCACGCCCCAGCGGAGGACTGAGGATTAATTTCGACCACCTGGGGATCTTTTGACGTGCAATCGAAAGCTCGGTTACACGGCGTCTTCTCCGCAATAAGCCTCCGTCATATTGCGGGCACCTCGGCCGGGATTCGAACCCGCCACATGGGGATCCGTAGGCCGACGCTCTCGCCTCGGAGCCACCGAGGTGGCTTGGCGTCCTGAATAAACGGTTCTGTTCTGTTTGGCATTCCGTCGGCTGCTGGCTCGTCATTACATGGCGACGAGGATGTCCTCCCTTTCGATATGTAGCGCGTAAACGGCGCCGTCCCCAACGAGCCTCGCCATGGCCTTCGCCGGTCTCGCCCCTCCGGAACCGTTCCTGCCGACACCGGGGCTCCCGTCCGTACCCTGGCCGCAATGGCATGGCATGTTCAACGTGTACCTGCTTGCGACTGGTGCTGCCGAATTTCTACCGGAGCGACGTAAGGCCCTTCTGCTGCACTGTCTGGGAGCCGAAGGCCAGCGAATTTTCAACACACTACCTGACACGAATCCTCCAAGCACCGCCCAGGACACCGGCAAAGACGCAACGAGCAAGCCGGACGTCTACGCCATCGGCGTCACTTCCTTGGCCCAACACTTCGCTACAACCAGCAACCTGGTCATCGAGCGACACCGCTTCCACCGGCGCTTCCAATCTCCAGGCCAGTCTGTTCATGACTTTGTTGCCGCGCTACGTGAGCTCGCAACGCCGTGTTGCTTCGCGTCACTAGAAGAGGCACTTCGAGACCAATTCGTGACCGGCGTGTCTTCTAACCGCGTTCGTGAACGCCTGTTGCTGGAAGGTTCGTCGCTGCCGTTTTCCACCGCAGTCCAGATAGCCCTTCAACAAGGACAAGCGGCCGAACAAATGAAAGAATTTTCCGCGTCTGTACAACCAGTGTCGGCGCGTCCTAGCAAGTATTCCGAGCCCCCTTCACAGTCTTCACGCTCACAGCACGTTACGCGAAGTCACCAGCAGCATATTCCCCGAAGCGCTACCACGTCACGCGCTGCTCAAGGGAACCGCCCCTCATCTCGTGACCGCAGCGACCGCCGTCGCTCGCCTTCAGCACCGCGCGCGCAGTCGCCGCACTGTTTTCGTTGCGGCTCTCGTGGGCACCGCGCGTCATGGACTCGTTGTCCAGCACAGGGACAACGCTGTTTATTATGTGGTCGCATTGGACATTTCAAAAAAGTATGCAACCAAAAACGCTCGCAGTCGACCGTTCGCGAGGTAGTGGTCGACAATTCGTCGGAGGATGATGCCGTTCAGGTCCTTGTTGCTTCAGCGTCCTACAACCTGCGCAATTCATATCGATGTTCAAATCGGGCAGTTTAACTTGCAACTTCTAGTTGACTCTGGGTCATCTGTGTCCATTTTGTCGAAATGAGTATTCGACGAAAACTTTCCGGGTCTAGTTCTCCTGCCTGTTCCGCGTGTCACCGTGGAGACTTCTCGAAAAGGCCCATTTCACTTCGAGGTTGCTTCTTCTCCGAAGTCTCCTTTCAAGGACGCCAGGCGCAACTTTTCTTCTACGTTGTAGAGCATGGAACTTCGCTCATTGGTATTGATGGTATCAAGGCTATGAACTTGCGCATTGAAGGGTCCACTATGCAGTGCCTTCAAGCTTCCTCCGTTCCTGAGGAACAGACCTCCAATGCTGTCGGCCTTCCGCCACTGCCTTCGGCCCTTGTTCACTTCACGCCTCTTTTCACTCAAGACTTAGGCCTCGCCAAAGGCTTTGTTCACAAAGTCAAGACGCGCTCTTCGGTCCAGCCCGTAGCATCAAAGCTTCGTCGCCTGCCTTTGTTTTTGCGACCTCGGGTGTCAGCTGAGCTTCAGCGCTTGGAAAGCCTTGACATCATCAAACACATCGAAGCGTCGGAGTGGGTTTCTCCCATTGTTGTCATTCAGAAGAGAGATGGGAGCATTAGACTTTGTGTGGACCTTCGCGAACCCAACAAGGCCATCGTTCCCGACATGTTCCCCCTGCCACAATTGGAAGAGCTGCTTCATGCACTGGTGGGAGCCACCAACTTTTCAAAACTTGACCTAGCTTCAGCCTACCACCAGGTCCTCCTGCACAAAGACAGCAGAGACTTAACAGCCTTCATCACCCACGACGGCTTGTTCCGCTTCAAAAGAGTTTGTTTTGGGTTGGCCTCAGCGCCAGCTGCGTTCCAACGCCTGATGTCGCAGATTCTTCATGGCTGTCCTGGCGTCCTTTTTTATATTGACGACGTTATTGTCTTCGGCCAGTCGTCGGAGGAACATTTGCAGAACCTGGCCAAATTCCTGCAACGCATCAAGGATGCAGGCCTTAAACTGAATCACAAATGCGTTTTCAATGTCACAGAGTTGACATTTCTAGGTCACAAGGTGACTGCCCAAGGCATTTCGCCCCTCCCAGAAAAGGTAGATTCAATCGTGAACACGCCTGTTCCAACCAAGGCTGCAGAACTCCGCTCCTTTCTAGGTCTCGTGGAATATTATTCGAGGTTCGTTCCTCACCTAGCTGAAGTCGTGGAGCCAATGAGAGCTCTTCTTCGCAAGGAACAACCGTTTGTGTGGACCTCACAAATTGATGCCAGCTTTTGCAAGGTCAAGCTCCTGCTTTCTTCTGACCTGGTGCTTCGTATGTTTGACCCTGCTCTTCCAATTGTAGTCTCGACAGATGCATCTGAATGCAGACCAGGAGCCGTTCTCCAGCAGCGACAGGGCCAGACACTTCGCACCGTCGCTTTTCCTTCGCGCACCCTTTCACCTGCTGAAAGGAAGTGTGCTGTTGGCGAAAAAGAAGCACAGGCCTGCATTTGGGCATGTGAACACAGGCATGTGTTCCTCTGGGGACGCCCATTTACTCTCCGAACAGACCACCAAGCCTTGGTTTCGCTTCTGTCTTCACGTGGTTTGGGACGACGTCCGCTTAGGGTCGCACGCTGGTGTGCAAGACTGCTCTGCTACAATTTTACAGTCGAGTATCAGAACGGTGAACAGAACAGTGTAGCTGACGCTCTGTCTCGTCTTCCCGCCCGACCAGGGACCCAGAGCTGGTTTTTGAGGAGGAAGCTGTCTGCCTTGTTGAGCCTACGTGTGTCGCCATGGAACAGTTCCAACAAGCAGTTCTGAGTGACGCTGTTTTGACTCAAGTGAAGTCCTACGTCACAGATTCTTGGCCTCCGCACAGAAGCCTTCCTGAAAATCTGTTGCCGTTTTTCAGAATTCGAGAAGAACTGTCAGTGGTAGATGAAGTCCTAATAAGAGCAGAAAGGCTAGTTGTTCCCTCGTCTCTGTCGGCCCAGCTCATTGCTACGGCGCATGAAAGCCACCCAGGAATCGTTCGCACTAAGGCAAGGCTTCGCGAAAAATTCTGGTGGCCGGGAATGGACAACCAAGTTGAGACGGCCATTAAGAGCTGCAGTTCTTGCCAGGAAGCCGTCAAGTCAGCCAAGGCATCAACTGCTCCAATGCAACCGGTTGAGTTCCCCGAACGACCATGGCAGAAGGTTGCAATAGACATAGTTGGTCCCCTGGAGAGAGCCCCTCAGAACTGCCGGTTCGTGATTACTCTGATCGACTACCACCCCAAATGGGCGGAAGTCCATTTCAGCTCGGAAGTAACATCAAGGACTGTAATGGAGTTCTTGCTCAACGTATTTTCCAGGGAAGGCTACCCTGATGAGGTAGTATGTGATAATGGTCCACAATTCACGTCCAGGGAGTTTGTCCACTTTCTGCAAGAACGGTCCATTCGGCTCTCGCATTCATCAGTGTACTATCCCGAGGCCAATGGCCAAATAGAACGGTTCAATCGCACTTTTAAGGCATTCATTCAGCTGGCTGTTTTGGAACGTTGACCGCTGCGACTGGCTATAACCGAGTACCTCGGAATCTACACGTGCACTCCGCATGTTAATACAGGGATTGCCCCTGCTGTTCTCCTTCATGGGAAATTGCCAAGAACACGGCTGAACGTCGTCGGTTTTCCATCACCGTTGCTCAAGGAGGAACAAGCAAGAGAGCTGTCAAAGTTGAGACAGCGAGTGAAGCGTCACCAGCTGTACAGCAAACAGCACACCGACAGAAGGAGAGCAGCAAAGAACACAAAGGTTGCTGTAGGAGATCACGTCAGGGTTAAGAAGCCATCCGTTTCCTTCAAGGGTAATCCTGTTTTAAGTCGTCCAAAAAAGGTTGTCAAGCAGCGTGGCCCGTCGTCCTTCCTTCTCGACGACGGACGTACTTGGAACGCCTCCAAGTTGTGCAAGGTGCCTGCAGTTCCGGCTGACCATGACTGCATTCAGCCAAGTGACAGATGGCTGCCCCGCAGTGCTTCATCTCAGGGGCAAGTACGAACTACGCCGCCCGAGGAGAGTGTGCCGTCCCAGGAACCGGTGCCGCCCGAGGAGCCTGTGCCGCCCGAGGAGCCTGTGCCGTATCAGCAAACTACGCCACAGGAAGAGCCTGTGCCGGGCCAGCAACTACACCGCCTGAAGAATCTGGGCCGGAGCGTTGAGTCCAACCCTACAGGGACAGGCGTCCACCTGCTAGGTTCCGGGACGATGCCTAATGTTGCCTTCCGGTTTTTGTACTATGTCTTCTGTTGTGATTGTGAGCTGTAAGTAAGTCACATGCAGTTCTGTAAAAAATTGTATAATGTTGTTTGTAAGAATTGTATGATATATATATGTATATATTTTGGGTATATATCTGATAGGCAAGTCATTTCTAACAAGCCATTAACCAATTAACCTACTTACCAATTGTCACCCAAACAAATTCAAGGAAGAAAATATGTTGTGTATTGTGTGAATTATTGAACACTGTCCAGTTTCGGTTTCAGATGCTCGGTTGGCAACATGGTGTCCCTGTGTGTGTATATAAAGTATGGCGTCCTGAATAAACGGTTCTGTTCTGTTTGGCATTCCGTCGGCTGCTGGCTCGTCATTACAGTTCCTTCTTCAATTTTCTCGTCGGCCTAATGCCGTAACCTCATTGGCGGCGGAGCGATGATTTCCACGCTCGTAACTTCTCGCGTCACTGACTATACGGCGAGCAAGTGTTTTTGAAGATCTAAAAATGCGTCTTCCGCGCATGGGGACGGAAAGAGAAGTGAGCTGATAAGAGGCCGACATAGGGTACGCACAGGGATCACGCGATGACGAAGCAGCCAAGAGCGCGGCGCCTTTGGTTGAGGATTGGGGTGGGGGAAGGGGGGGGGGGGGATAAAAAAACGCACGAAGAGTGCAAGAAGCAGACGATTATCTAATCCATAGTTTCCTTGAAGATACTGATGGAGCAAACTTAAAAGTGAACACTCCGGAAGAACCTTAAAAATTGTACTTGTTTCACTAAAAGACTTCAGAGAAAACAAGGCCTGTAACTGAAACGTTGAATGCTTTTCTGAGCTTTCTCATCAATGTATTGTTTAAAAAGATAAGGGTGCTTTTTTTTTTATTGGGGGGGGGAGGGGGAGAGATTATTTAATGATGTGAGGAGCGAGATACTTTTAAATATTTTGCTCTGGCAGACGGAGAAACCTATGACAGTCATCTTCAGTAGGCACATAGGTAGATAAGCAGCGAATATACAAAGTGTAACTAGAGTTATTGCGATTCTCCAATTAAAACTTCTATAGCGAAAACTCCTAACGAAAACACCGGGAGGGGGCAAGTGAGCTGGTGTGAGTTCATCATTGTAGAATTACCCGAGACTCCGCTGTCGACAGAAAAGCGACAGGTAGAAGGAAAGCTGTTTCAATTTGAGATCTCTTTCCTTCTCTCTGTTGCTTTTCTCAGCATCACCGCAGTCTCCGGTAATTTTACAATTATGAAGGCTATTCGTAATCTAGCAAGAGGCAGTTTACCTGCGCTAATACTCAACCTAAACCAATTTATTTCGACCTCTCGTGTCATCACGTCAAGAGAAGCATGGTCGCTTCACTGGATGTCGCATCGAGAGAAGCCATCAGAGTTCGCCAAATAAAAATGAATACGCCGAATGATACAATATTGCTACAAATTACTCTAAACACCAAGTGAGCGTCGCACGACGCTACCCCGGCTGCTAGAGATGCTACAGAGTTTACAAGCGTTTCTACTCGGTAACGACCAGTGGTGTCAATGCCTTTGCAGACGCAAGTTCTATCCCTCGAAGAACACGGCCATCAAGACTAGAAAAACAAGTTGCAATAATTCTAGAATTCCATTCACTCGGTGTAACACTGGACACATTGAGCAACGGGCTACGTCTGGCGGAAAAGATTGTAACGCTGATTATTTTTTTAATTTCTTCTTTCGAACGAGCCACTTGCCTATCTGGTTTAGGGGATTGCCGCGACA